CTCAAACAATCCGCCCGCCTTGGCCTCCCAGAGAGCTAGGATTACAGGCATGAGCCACCGCGCCTAGCCTAAAATAAAAAGGTTTTGAACATTTAAATTTTTTAATATAGTTTACTAATTTAAATAGGAAATTAAGGACAGCAAACATTATTTAATCTCCTTCTATAATAGGAAAAAGAAGGTTGGGGACATGACTCTGAAAAGTCTATCAATTTCTGTGAATTTTATTTTCTTTTTCTCTTGTTCCAGGGATCAGTATGCTGACAGGCATGTCTTTCCTTTCTTGTGTCTTTTTATAACTGGATATTTTTAATTAAACAATTCTATTTAGTATGAATGTTATTTGCAGGGATCTGTAAAACTTTGTGTATTAAATAAGAAAACCCATTAAAAACCCTCTCCTAGAATGTACCCCCATGACTGTCTTTTCATGGAGTCCTACCGCCACCCCATAGCAGACCCAATTTCAGGAGTTAATGAGGATGACAGTTAAGTGCATCACTCATATCCAGTGTCTATACCTCCTTTAGTAGAAAGTTGATCAGCACTTCCATTTTTCCCCTTCAGTATTTAATCACTAATCAAGAGGAATTTAGATCAAATTAGCTCCACAAATGAAATTATTTTTCTAAGTGACATAATCTATGTAAGTAAATGATGTCTTTATTTTATGAAGAACTTACCTCAAGTTGAACCCTTTGTTCTAAATTCTTGTATGACCTCTGTAATAACTCCCGGGTTCCAAGGACGCCATACCACATCAAGTTTTTGGTTCGGCTTCTGAAAATAAATGTTGGCAGGCAATTTCAGGAAACTTTATTTCTTTACTTCTTAAGGGCAGAGCAAGCAAAAGAGATAATAAATGAAATTAAAGTAAAATTGCCCTTATGTAATAACATTATTACTATTACCAAAATTACCTGCATTTTTCAGGGTGCTCCTCTCTCTTATTATTAAATTCTAATGAAATTTTTGCATCTAATCCAATCCCAAAGTAATTGTTCATGACACATTTTTCTGAATATCCATCTCTATGATCATAAGGAAAAGTACATAAAAGTCAATTTCAGGTTCATTACAACACTTACAATTTGTACAAAAAATAGCACTTAAAACCATTTAAGCTTCCATTCCTTATACAAGATTTCAAAGCTTAGCAATAATCACTTCCTATTTATATACATATGTAGAATAACAGGACATGTGTATAATTTCCAGTGATATAAAGGGATGATATGCAAAGCAAAGCAGAGACAGCTATGGTTTGGTTTTCTATTATTATAACAAAATCTTAGTGGTTCTATCTCCTACATGAGTCCCTCATTACTCATATAAATGAGGATGATTACCGGAGGGTCTTGAAATCAGAAGCCAATACTCCTCTTTTTTGATCATTACAAAGTTTCCTCCACTTCTGCTCTTAACAATGGACAAATATTTATTGAGCAAAAAATTACTAGATCCAATCCATTCTTCTAGGTGTTTTGGAAAATTTAACACATGGTACTGTCCTTGAGGAATGTCATTACAGAAATGAGATATAACAAAAGCAAAATTAAAAATGGAAGTAAAAAAAGTATATTTTGAACTGTCAAAAAAAATTTTTTTAGGAGTTTTGAGAAGAGAAAAGATCAATATGGGCCAGAGGCTTCCCAAAATAAGTAAACCTAGAAGCTGGATGTGGAAAGATGGCAGATTTGGCAAGACTTGAGAAGAAAGGAGGTAAAGGCAATAGCATAAATACAGGTGTAAAGGTGCCACTGAATAAAATATTCCAGAGAAAGTGAGTAGAGCTGTCCCTTCCTTCCTGAGGGTTGCTCTCAAAGAGAATAGGCTGAAAAAGGACCTCCCTTAGGGCCAGAGCATGGAGACCACTGAATTTCAAAGGGCTCAATGTGCCCATCGTTATCAACTTTCGAAATGTGCTGATCATCCTTTTTGTATATGGAACCATATTTATTATAAGGCAGTTAAAATATTACAATTCATATAAAACAGAAACAAGAAAAGCCAAAACAAAATATTTGCAAAGGCATTTTCTTACACTGAATCTGGATCTGGATCAATAAATGGTGTTGCACCAAAAGGATCAATGTTTGCTAGTAACATTTTATTGATAATGGAACTCCCAGCAATTGAGGCAGCTAGTCCTGCTCTTAAACCTGGACAGAAAAATAAACACATACAGGATCACATGTTAAGAAAAAACAAAAAGAGCCAGTCCATTCAGGCCTACTTTCAAACATCTTGCTCCAAAAGCGTGGTTTTCAGTGCCTACTCTTCTCATTAATCAGAACTAAGAACTATGACATTTGTGAATATAAGGTTTTTGATGTTTCCAAGGATCTATATGCTACCATAAAGAATTAAGGAGATGCAATGTAAATAGAAGACATTTTGTAACATTTTCTCATTTACCATCCCAATAATTCTATAACTCAACGAATACGTGTTACTTCCTTTGTTATAGAAAATCAGGTATTAAGTTTGTAAAGAATTTACAACAATGGCTGAATTTCCCAAAATGTCATGGAGTTATCAATAGGTACGCTCAAAGCATAAATAATAATACTCAATTGAAAATGTTAAGAAATGTAATAAAATGAAAACTTAGTTTAGTGTCAAGAAAGTAGTAAAATATTAAATGTACATATTTATGAATTTTAGAATATATTAATGGAATATAAAAAATGAAGCATCTGTTTTATCTCTGAATATGCAAAACTTTAAATTTATTTCAATATGCTTTCCACTAACTAGTTATGGTATTCAAGGCTAATGAATTTTATGACCTACTCAACGCAGTATTAAGGCTAGAAACACTAAAGTCTGGAGAGAAAACAAAGTAATGGGGCCTAAGGGAACAAACAAAAAAGGAAAGAATAGTGAAGAAAAACACATCATGCAATTGAGAAACATTAGGAAATTCGAAAAACAAGTCCTGTCTTTACCAAATATTCTTTGTTTCAACAATGTCCTCTTCTTAGAAGATTATTATTCATTACTTTAATTAATAATGTTTAGCTGATTATCCAATAATTAAGATGAATTTTATTGTCATTTAATGTCATGGTTTTGAATATGCTATGGCATATTTCTTTATGCCAATTTCCTTATGTCTAAACAAGTAAATGCACAAATAAAAACAATAGATCTGATGAGAGTAAAGAACAATCTGGAAAGGTAAAGAGCCATACCGTACTCCAGCTGCCCCACAGAAAAGTGTCATACTTTCTAAAATGTTTTAGGGTTAGGCATAGAAACATGACCTCTAAACTTGGAGGCCTTGCCAGAGCCAAGCATGTTCTGGTTTTATCTTTTTTCTTTTAATATTTTTATTGTGATATAATTCACACATTATAAAATTCACCCTTTCAAAGTTTTAAAATAATTCAGTTGTTTGTAATATATACACAAAGTTGTGTAACCCTCACTACTATCTATTAATAATTCTAGAACTTTTTTATTACCTCCCCAAAAAACTCCTGTACCCATTAGCAATCATTTTCCATCCTTCTGAGACCTTTCCCTGTCCCCAGTCCCCTAAAAACCACTAATCCACTTTCTGTCTCTATGGATTTGACTATTCCACATATTCCATATAAATGGTATCATATAATATCTGGCTTTTATGTTCATCTTCATTCAATTGGCTTGTTTTCAAGGTTAATCATGTTGTAGCATGTATCCATGCTTCATTCCTTTGAATGGCTGAATAATATTCCATTGTATAGATATACCGCTTCTTGTTTATCCATTCAACTGCTGGATATTTGCATTGTTTCTACTTTTGGGCTATAAATGGTACTATAGACAGTCATGTACAAGTTTTTCGGTGCTCATTTATTTTCAACTCTCTTGGGTATATATTAATAGCCAGTAGTGGAATTGCTGGGTTATATGTTAACTCTGTGTTTAGTTTTCTGAGGAATTGCCAAAGTGTTTTTCAAAATGGCTGTACCATTTTACATTTCTACTAACAATGTGTGAAAGTTCTAATTTCTTCACATCCTTGACAATATTTATTATCTGCCTTTTTTGATCCTTGCCATCCTGTGGCATAAAGGTGCACCTCACTGTGGCTTTTATTTGCATTTACCTGATGACAAATGCTGTTGAGCATCCTTTCATGTGCTTTTGGTTATTTCTATAGCTTCTTTGGGAAAATGTCTACTTAGATCCATTTATCATTTTAAAATTGAGATATCTGTCTTTTTATTGTTGAATTTTGAGAGTTCTTTGTGTATTCTAGATACTAGTCCCTTACCAGATATATTAATTGCAAATTCTTGAGCTGTCATCTCACTTCCTTGATAGTGTCATTTGAATCACAAAAATCTTTAACTTTGATGAAGTCTAATTTCTCTATTTTTTTTCTTTTGTTGTTTGTGCTTCCTGTCATATCTAAGAAACCACTGCCTAATTCAAGGTTATGAACATTTATGCCTATGTTGCCTTTTTAATAGTTTTATACTTTAAGATCTTATATTTAAGTCTTTTATCCATGATGAGCTAATTTGTATATATGGTGTGAGGTAGAGGTCTAACTTTATCCTTTGCATGATGATATCTGGTTATTCCCAGTACTACTGGCTGGAAAGACTATTCTTTCTCTGTTGAATTATCTTAGCACACCTGTTGAAATTAACTGACCGTAAATGTAGGAGTTTACTTCTGTACTCTCAACTTTATTTCATTGATCTATATGACTGTTCTGATGCCAGTACCATGCAGTCTTGACTGCTGTGCTTTGTAGTAAGTTTGGGAAATGGGGAAATGTGTGTGTCTCACCTTTGTTCTTCTTTTTTCAAGATTGTTTTGGCTATTGTAGATCCTTTGCATTTCCAGATGAGTTTTAAAATCCGCTTGTCAAAAAAGACAGCTGGGATTTGATACGGATTATGTGGAATCTGTAGTTCAATGTGGGGAGTACTAATATCTTACTAATATTCAGTTTTTCAACCCATGAATACAGGTGTTTTCCATTTAGTTAGGTCTTCTTCAATTTCTTTCAGCAGTATTTTCTACTTTTCGGTGTTTGAGTCTTTCACCTTCTTGGTTCAATTTACTCCCAAGTATTTTCTTGTTTTTGATGCTATTGCAAATTGTTCTTAATTTCATGTTCAGAGTACTCATTTCTAATGTATAGAGATACAATGACTTTTTGTATATTGATCTCTTATCCTGCAACCTTTTTGTACTTATTTATTAGCTCTAATGGGGGAAGGGGGTGTATGTTCCTTAGGATTTTATATGTGCAAGATCAACCTGTGAAGATATACAGTTTTACTTCTTTCTTTCCAATATGGATGCCTTTAGTTCTTTTTATTTTGCCTAATTGCCCAGGCTGGAACCTCCTGTATAACGTTGAATAGAAGTGGCAAGAGTAAACAACCTTGTCTTGTTCCTTATCTTGGAGAGAAAGCTTTCAGCCTTTCACCATTATGTATGATGCTACCTGTGGGGTTTTTATAGATGCCCTTTATCAGCCTGAAGAAGTTCTCTTTTATTCCTAGTTTGTGGAGTGTTTTTTACTACAAGAGAGTTCAACACTTGTTTTTTCAAGTATCTATTTCTTAGTTGATCGTCTCTCTAGTTGTTTCATCCACTCTTAAAAGTGAGGTACTAAAATCTCCAACTATTATTACTGAATTGTGATTCATCTTTAAAAGAGCTTGTACGAGACACTGATTTTCAGGATCTAACTTGGATTCCAATCTGAATGAATCTGGAGGGTTTCCGGTAAGTCAAACAACTGGTACTTAATGAGGCTCCTGAGACACTTGCATTTTCCTCCATCTCCTGCCCCACAGTCCTTTGGTTTCCACTAGTACTAGCCTCATCCCAAAGTATATTCCCTTTAGCAGGGCTGGAATAGATGCCTCAGATGTCCAAAAACGAAGCAATATCACTAGGCTACAAATGACTACAGAGATTTGTGGCTTAAAACCAAAAGGAAAGCTGTGAAGACACTTAAGAGGTAGTAGAATATGAGATCAGATTGACTTTGGGTACATAATAAATGCAGATTCCTGGGCTCCACCGACGAACTCCTGAGTTCATTTTAGTACCTCATTTAGTACCCTGAATCACAATTTCTCAGGGCAGGGCCTAAAAACATGTGTTTTATTATTATCCAGGCAACTGTTATACACAGAAGACTCTAAGGAGCTGGATTCTAACTATACAAGTATATACCAAGAACATTCTCCTAGAGGAACATTTAAGAACACATTTCTATAGTTCATGGAAGTGAGTACTTACACATTTTCACAGAAATACTTAAAAATATACCATGTTTCAGAATCTGTACTACCTGGGCAGATTATTCTGGTATTGAGCACAGGGAGATTTTCTTTGCTGGCTGCTACAGCTGGACCAGGGACAGAATCAGTCTGGGAATGGCCATGACTTGCCCGGGAATCTGGAGACCTAGGAGCAGTTTTAACTGTTGGCAAAAAGTCCAGATTAAAGAGAGATAATGATAAAGCTACAAAAATAATCAAGCCCATATAAATTTAGGACATAAAAATAATTGAATACTGGTTTAAATCAACCAGTGGAACTGAAAATATTAATTGAGTTTACATATTCTTTTCTATTGTTTTCTTTTTCTTGAGACTTATATGGAGGGAATCTGCCACAGGTGTCTGGATGAGAGATGTCTTGATCTCTCATCTCAAATAGATGGAAATCAGTAAAAAATAGATGTCTACCATAATTAAAGGTCAGTAACACTCATAATTTGAATACTAATCCACACTTAAAAATAAATAAAAATTTCAAAGCCTGATAATTTTTGAAAATGGAACATATGTGTTAAAATGTATACTATCATCATTATCCTTTTCACATAAATATTGAGTGAATAATCAAATTTAATTAACATAATTTCCACAGCTAATATGCAAAACATGAGTTAACGTTATCTTCAATAAATGGAAAGAAAGATAGTATTTATTTTCAGGTGAAACCAATACACTTTTCCTGTACTTCTCAATTAATTATTTGTTTAAAACGATGATTTGCCCAAAATAGTTCTATCATATTCTTATAAAAGCTCAAAATATTTTAAAAATTATAGCAAAACACAATTATTCTCAAAGTAAATAACAAAAAGAAAGATTTAACTCTATCTAAACTGAGGCAAATAGTACCATTAACTAATTTAAGAGTTATTGGCGGGTATTTAAAAAAAAAAAAAGGTAATTCTCAAATTTGATTTTAAAATACTCTAAAAACTTAATTACCTTCACTCTTCCTAAAACTAATTATAAACTAACTATATTAATCTTACACTCTATTCCCTCTGTTCAAAAACAGTCCAGTTACACTAAAGAAAAGTAACAGAACAGCCACTCTTTTTGTTTTTTGATAGATGGGACTCCTGGGGTTAATTTCTAATAAAAACAACTTTGTGACATTCGTCTGATAAAAGGCAGAGAGCATACTAATGACTAAGATTGATGTTCCACTGCAGGTAACTACATTAATGTTTCATGGTTCTTCTTAAATAAAGCAACTCATTGATCATATTAACATATTGTATTTATCATATCTCAGAAATATGAATTATTACATAATTTAATAATGGTACAATAAATGTCCTTGAAAAAATAATGATTATTTAATGCAGAAACACATCTACTATTGCTACTGGTTTCCTCATACGTTGGATTACTAGCCAAAATTAAGATTAAATACTGTACCATTAAAGGCTTTCGAGATCTAGGTCTATTTCAATAACAGTATCTGTAGCACTATATCTATATTTTTTAGTTTCTTTTACAGACTACAATGGAATTGTCAAGTTTAAGAGAGTATGGTAAGATAGGATGACAGCTGGTTGGAAAACCATTAGCAATGAGTGTTGAAAAACCAGTCCTCCAAAGAGAGTCATCATCTTAAGGGGGTTATCAAACAGCATCCTATAAGGACACCATAGTCAGCCCTGCTTTAGTCAACATTTTTTAATGGATGAAAACATCTAAGGTCTGCTTATCAAATTCACAGATGGAATAAACTTCAGCTGATAGAATCAAACTTCAAAAGATTTTCAGAGGATGAAATGATAGATCTAAATAAAAAAGATAAAAGTTCATAGGGATGTGTGTAAACAACTATAATTAGGTTTTAAAAAAAATCTTTGGTAGCCTTTATAACTTCCAAAATGTCCAGAATGAGTATCGTATGGGTAACAATGTGCTATCACAGTACAGAAAATATCTCAAGAATTTTTCTCAAAATGGTACATTACATTTTAAGATAAACATTGCACTTAGGATAAATCATCTGGAAAAGAAGGCGTAAGGTGTGGGAAGGAGATCTAACGCCATGAAAGCCGTTTTCAGTATTATTTAAGGGCTGCCACATGCAAGAACAAGACACAGTTCCAGAGGTATAGTCATCTTCAATATAGTGAAAAATGTATGTGAAATTGATCTTTAAACTAACCATAAGCACTACACAAATGCCAGTAGTCGTTACTGTCAACACTAATAAAACCTGATAATTAATGTAATCATGGGTAGGACTTTAAGGGAGAAATAGAAAACTCAATGTAAAGAATAACTTTCTAACAATTAGAGCTGACCATAAGAGTGGGATGTATTGAAAGTGAGTGGTCCAAGGCTCAATGGCTTTAACTTCCAAAAGCCTTTTCAAAAATGAAAACACAAATAGTTTATTTCAAACTGATAAGCCTTTTGAAAACTAAAAGCGAAATTACATTTTTTCTAATTCAAAATAATCTTATTGTAGTTTTCTTACCAGTTAATGAGTCTTTTGTATCATCGTCTTTAGATTCATCGGTTTCCGTACTATCATAATCGGATGACTGAGTAGCTGGCTCACAGGGGTGAACTGTCTGATCGTCCATTACTTTAAGTAGTAAGAAGATAAATGTGTTCAGACAAGTAACAATAAAACCCATTCATAATAAGATACGCTCAGGAAAGGAAAATTAAACATATATCAAAAGAAATTCCATATTTACAAAGAAACGTTATTTAGGCAATAAACTTGAGGGTGATGCCTATAAGTACTAGAGATTATAAAACTAAATAAAGTTGTTCAAATTACATGTTTATCAGAATAAAAAAATATTAGAATTTTAGAGAATGTAATACAAGTCCAATTATAAATTACAACCTATAAAGGAGTTTTTGAACATTCATCATTCATATTAAAATTAACTTTTAATCTACTACTAAAATTCTAAGAAAAGTATATATATTAATATAAAAATTAAAATATAGGCAGAGTTTTTATAAATTCTTAATAAAGCAACATAAACATTTAGGAAATTAATGTTAAAGTATTTTCTATATTTTCCAAGTAGTTTACAGGTTTGATTTTCTCTAAGAATTTAACAGACTCCAATAAGTAAAAAATATCTAAAATTTTAGAAACATTATTTAAACTCATTTTCTATTTTAGTTTAGAAATGTTTCAAGTTAATTATATTTTATGCATCATTAATACGTTGATTCTTACTACCGCTGCTACTAAAACAATATATAAGACTAAGTATAAATTTCATCTTAATGACTTTATCTTCTATCTTGTCTTAAAAAAATTGTTTTTAACCATGATGACCCTGACCACTATGAAAGCTGTTATGCTTGCAGTAGGAATGCTGCTAACTTCTTCCAAAGCCAATTTTGTTAACATGTACCTTTTCCAGCTTCTTCAATGACTTGCCTCACTGCCTTCTTCAAACTGTTTGCCCGAAGCATTATTTCCCTTGGTCTGGCAGCTTTCTGGCAGGCAGGTTTTGAAATGTCATCTGTGAGCTGTTCCTTGCTTTCACCCAAGGATTCCTCACTTGAAGATTCCACAGTATCTTCCTCCACAATGAGAGGGCCGATGCCCGGGAGGAGGGGAGCGGCCTGGGAATCTGTGTGCAGAGCCTGGAGCAGTTGTTCAAGCTTCTCATTTAGGATTGAACACTGAGAAAACAGAAATACAGCAATGAGAAAACAAACCAAAAAGAAGTAAGATCGGCAGACAAAATACAAGAAATTTTTATGTAAGATATTTTAAAGTTTAATTGCTAAAGAGAAAAACACTAAAATTCAAATGGCGACCACCTGTAATTTTACAGATGTTTTGGATCAGGAAGCACCTAATTGTAAAAAATCTCCATTTAGTAGACATAGAAAATAATAATTTAAATGAATGATTTTTGATTTAGAGGGAAGATGTCTATGTTGATGTCTACTAAATATTAATAATTTATAATTTTTAAAAAGTTGACACAATTCTTATGTCATTTCATTGATTTATGCTTCTGGAACCATTCAGACTCTGTTTCATGGGTAAAAATCTTTACAACATTTGTACAGCTATTTTTCTTAAAAGAACACAACAGACACTTTACTATAAAGTGACACATTACATAAAAAAATTACATACTACATAAAATTTTCTATATATTATACAAAACATTAAACTTTTTTTCTTTTAAGTAATTGACTTATGGCACCATTTTGAGTATCGCGAACTGCAGGTCTGGCTGAGTTTTGGCAAGCTCACCTGCAAAGCAGTGGTTTGCAAAGGAGTGAACAGTACCTGGGAGATTATCGGCTCAGAGAAACTACAAGAAGGAAAATGCACAAGGATAAGGAGGGAAAAGAAGAGTGACGCAGAAAGAAAAACAAGCAGTGGGCAGGCCCTTGTTTCTTTCTGCTTTTCTTGTATTACTAGGTGTGAAGAAACATTTAGGATTCTACCCCCAATATACCTTTTATCTCCACATGGTTCCCAATCCCTTTCCTCCTCCGCCTATCTGTCTTTGATGACATACAGAGAGAAAGTTAGAGCAGAAATAGTTTAGAGACAAAAATATGGCCAGGGAAGGTTTCTGTTTTTCTGAAACTCTCCACAGAGTGGAAAGACAAGAGAAAGAGGCTGAAAACTTCAAATGTATGTTTATTTCTATCTTCTTTTCCTTCCACTCAATTACACCACCATCTATAGCTTGAATCTAGGGGAGCAAATTCCTTTGCAAGCCCAAGCTATCCAAGCTATCCAAGAATGCCCTAGCATGAACTTAGGAAAGCAAAGACAGTAGCTTTGAAGGTTGAGTAAACTGCTCTTATTTTAGCACCAAAAAGCTCATGAAGTGGAAAAAAATCTGTAAACAAATGCAGGAAACAGCACTCTGAAAGGGACCAAGGACTGTGATATCTAGGGAACCCAAGGAACCGTGCAGGGAAGGGAGCTTGACTGGCCAAAGTGTGCTTGGGCATGGAAAGTCATCCCTCTCCCCAATGGAACGGCAGGTGCGCAGCCTTCTCCCCCCTGGTCTGACCGCAATCATTTCCCCTTCAAGATGTCAATCTCTGGGAAAGGGATCTGAGTTATAAAATTCATTTGTTAGATGGTTTTAAGCAATGCAATTTTCCCACTTATTAAAGAGTAACAATAAAGTAGAACATTTTTTAAAATCCTCATATCTGATTGAAAAGTAATTTTTGTCTTGGTTTAAGATGTTTCGGCAGGAAAACCACTTAATCAGTTTACGTTTAATACACAGTTGAACGTCGACATTGCGAGTAAACAACTTTCATATCCCTCTTACTTTACTGGCCACGGCGTCGGCTACAACAGCATTTTCCAAAGTTTTGTCATATGCCTTCTCGACTTTGGCCACGAAGTCCTTTACAGTTTCACAGAGCGTCCTTTCAGGAAAAGAAATTGTACAGTTCAGTAAACTTCAGAGGTTGATTTGCTTTGATTTATAAAAATGTATTAAAAAATAAGCACAATTAGGCAAACTGTCAAATATCTGTAAAAAAAACTGGGTCATCCCTATATAAATCCAGGCTTCTATCTGCTGTGTATTCATCTCAGATAAGTACAAGACATTCTAAGTGACAAATGCATACATGAATAAACCTTGCTCTATGTAATTTAAGTTGCAGTAGTTTTAACATTAGAACAAGCCTTTCTCAAATATTTAAGTTATTAAGAAGAGTATTTTTAGATCCCACTTTTAAAAAGTGGGATTATCTCCACAGCTTATATATTTTCATAATAGAAAGTGCAGTGTTGAACGAACAGGGTTAAGCTTATCACTCATGTTGTCACTACTGAACTACTATTCATCATGTGGGTACCGTGGTAATATATTATTCCTGAAGAGGAAAGAGATTGCGTATTATGCTGGAAACTGACCTGCCACTTGAATTGAGTTATACTCTCCGTACATCCATTCATTTTTTTTCCTTAAGATAAACAATGCAATAACATATGAAACTAATTTAATTTAGGTCTTGTTAGTGTCAGCAATATATGGTTTACCTGTATGTTTCTTTTAATTACATTTGGCTTCTTTGCAATAGAAATAAACCAAAAGAAAAATAACATGAAACACTAAAAAAAATGTCTTTCAAAAGGCTTTGGATCTAGGCCGGGCGCAGTGGCTCATGCCTGTAATCCTAGCACTCTGGGAGGCCAAGGAGGGCGGATTGTTTGAGTTCAGGAGTT